TTGGAGGGACCCCTACAGATGGAAGTATTCCTAAGACGAAATAGATGTCACCCAAGAGATAGGCAAAGAATACAGAATATGATTCATAACATACAAGGAATGGAGGAGGAAGAAAAAGGAGGAAAAAAAAAAAGAATCTTTAGGTTGTGTTTGTAATAGCATATGAAGTGAGTTAAATTAGTCTGCTAGATAGTAAGGGAATTGCCCTTGAACCTTTGGTAACCACAAAACTAAAGGCTGCCATGGCAATAAGTACACACCTATAGATAATCACCCTAAATGTAAAGTGAAGTAGTTTGACCCTATTTAGACTCTAGGAGGACAGTTCTGGTGAGAGGGTGGAAAGTGGGTTGCACTGGATGAGGTGAGATGAGGGAGGCCAGTCAAGACCACGTTGCAGTTACCCTGGCAGGAGAAGAGGGGGTCCCTGCACGGCAGTAAGCGAAGTGACGGGGGGTAGGACAGCAGACCCGGAGGGCACCGGTGGATGTGACCCACTCCCACCAAATGAGACCATTTGGGTATGTAGGTGACAGAGCCTCCTGTTTTCTGGCATATTTGAAGCTCTAAATATTACTGTTCATATTCAAGAACATTATAATGTGTTCAAAGGTAATTTTATAGTGATTTCATCATCATCAAATCTGAATGATAACGTAACAATTCTTCCCTGAGCTGGCATTGCGTCTCTCGTCTTACACATTTGATTTCAGTTAAGCATGACTATTCTTAAGCGCAGGTCTTGTCTAGTGTGGTAAGGCTGAAGTCGGCTGGACTATCTGGATAAAATAATGCATTCCAAGCAAGGAGGTCCATAAACGGAATGGGAAACCACAGTACTGTTTTAAAATGTCACCTGGAAAGCGTCGTGTCTTGGCTGAGGGGAGCCCTGATTCCAGGGGGTCGTGCGGTGCGCTGTCCCGCAGGGCGAGGCTGGAGCGACGCCCCCGTTCAGAAGGCTTCCTCGGGGGCAGGCGCACGGCCGGCTGAGCAGGGCCTCGGGTGTGTGTCCGCTCCCGTTTGAACGCGGAAGGCCCTGAGCTTTCACTTGGGGATTCTTGAAGGCGGCGGATTACTGGAATGATGAGAAAGTCCTGATAGGAGAGGCTGGAAAGGCGATCGTACAAGGAAGGAAATAATCGCAGCACTCTAGGGCAGTGGAAACCTTGAGGAGTAAGTCTGGCCCGGCAGCTCCGGGGATTACAGCCATTGATTTCAGGCAATTTAGCCACTTGCTTTCGATTTAGGGCTCTGAACTTCTGTTACAATTGAAAAAGGATTACATTGCAGCTTGTGGGCTTTAAGACACAGAGAGACGGCAGTCTGGGAGCCAGCGGCCCTGCCATGTTCAAGGGCAGTGAAAGGTGGGCCTGGGGTCCTGGCGGCCCCACGGATTCCCGCACGTCTGCACAGCTTGCCACGGGCCACGGAGCGCTTCCCCTTGCGGTGCTGGGCGGTACTCGTGCCCAGGACCTCGTGCTCACGCTGCCATTGGTCCTGTGACGATGCAGCTTGGTCACCTTGATTAAGGTGTTGAGAAACAATAAACTGGATGGTTCCTTCAAAATATTCAAGCGATGCTTTCTAAAACTGGCCTTAGCTAACCATTTTTTAGTTTGCATATCCATACCTCTCCGGTGCTCCCCTGACACGGGCCTGGGGTGTGTTCAAAACCCGGAGCGTTGTTCTTTCCCTTCTTTTGGGGAAAGTGAAATCGTAAAAGAAACCAATTTCAATGCTGGAAACTGTATTGAGACAAATGTGCGTGGTTGATTTATAAACGTAGCTTAAACAGAACACATTTAATTCAACCTCATCTATTTCAATCATATGATTTAGCTTGTTAATTGCAGCCACACAGCTGTTGGAAATCATTAAACAGGTTCTGGAGAGAGAAGATTCACTAGAAATCAAGCATCTTACGGTTTTACAGCTGCTCGTCGGCTCATCCTCAGCAAGCATCCTGTTTGAAGGAGGTGCTATAGTTTCGATGGATCTCTATGAAGGATTACGGGCTCTGGAATCGAACAAAGCTGGGTTCAAACCTTCACTCTGTTATCTGCCAACTTTGTGATCTTGGCAAGTTAACAAACCTCTCTGGGCCTCGGTTATATCATCTGTAAAGTGAAATTAACCATACTTAGCTTCAACTGATAATGTGTGGATTAACTAGGACAATAATTTATTTGCACACAAAATACTCCAAGTGGTATCACTGATACGAGGATTGAGCAAAGATCTGAACAGAATGACAAAGTCACTAGGGTGAGGAACACCTACGAATTTGTTTTGGTGCTGTATCTCTTAGTTCTCAGTTATAGTGTTCCATCTCAAGCATGCAGGTGAGCCCTCAAAAACTGCAGAACTACAATCATTTGATATTAAATTTAAGACTTTACAAAAAGTTGTGTTGGAGGACAGAGATAAGACTTAAACCTGTGAAATATATTACATATGTTTTATATTCTCTACAGTAAAATAACATCCCACACTAAATTAAAATATCAGTGATATTTTAAAAAATATTCGTCATGATATTTGCTAATTTTGTTTCTCACTAAAATTTTTGAGGATGTCTATCATAAAGTATCTGCAAGATAGTTTTGTGTACAAGATGTCAGCTTTTATATGCTGATAATATGCTCGCAAACAGATCTTTGCACCCATCTTTGTTCTCCCATCAAGATGTTCCAGGTTCCTGAATTGTTAAGTGCTGACTTTTGTCTCCCCTTCTCGTGTCGCCCACTTCCCCCACTCCTACCTCTGTAGTTTGTTTCACGGGACCACGTCTCCTTTCCCATGTCTCATCACAGTCCCTGGGGCAGACACACAGGAACTGGAGTGCTAGAATGTTTAAGAAACCACCCACCCACCAACATCTGTGTAACCCCTCGTCTCTGCTGAACAGCATTTTGAGTCTCCTGCCTAATGGGTAGAACTCACGCTAACTTCATGCTGAAGTTCCTTTTACAGAAGCCTCCCTCCCCCTCCCTGACATTTTTAAGCCATTCACACTAAAACTGCCATTTTTCACTGCAAGACTTCATTGCAGCAACTTCCATTCATGTCTAATCTTTTCCTTCCATTATAAATATCCACCTCTTTTTCCAATTATCTTCAGCAACAGTGACTTGTGAGCTGCAAGTATTATGTCTACACTTCTCTGGTTGTTCAAACTACAATACAGTTCTAATCCAGTCTAAATGGTAGTGAGCCAAACACTTACGACCTCCATGCTCTTATCTATATTGACTTCCATTAATTCCAACTCTAGACACATAAGCGGTTTAAAAATAAAAATTGGGATATACATATATATTAAAAAGTGCCAGTTTTTCTATTGCAAAACTAGTCGAGTTACTCTCGCCCCCTTACAGGCGGGGCTGGCTAACAGGTTAGTGCTGTGTTCTGAGAGACAAAGCTTGGAGAAAATCAGGCAGATGGAAGGAGTAGTATGTGTCATGGTCTGGGAGGGAGACAATAAATGCACAATACCTAGATTGGGGTTGCATAACCAAGAGGTTTCCTTTAAAATAGGGATCAGTTCGGAGTGAGGACAGAGAGGTGATAAGCAATGAGGGGGTGCCGAGGTCACAGCCGAATGTCAGGTAATTCAACGGGCATCATCAGCCGCCAGTCGTGAGGCCGCTAAGAGTGATGTAACAGCATTATCTTTCCCAGGTTTCCCGTGGGGCTCTGTGGGTGACCCACGGGACAGCCGGACAACGTAACAGATGCCCGCAGAGCCCAGCGGTGAGGTTCACGTGGTGTGCATGCCCGCCTCCACCTCTGAGGCCGTGGCGGCCACTTCTTCCCACGCACTGTCCCCCGGGAGTGGTCTGGACCCTGCTTGCCGTGACATCTGATGCTGCAGAAGGAGATTTTGTGCCTGGCTGACTCAAGGCAACTGGAGAAGAAATAATTCTTAACATTTCCAGTAGATTCACTGGTGAGGTTAGATGTGCTGAGAGGAAGGTGAACACAATAAGTAGCCACCTGGGGAGAACGCGCGGCAAAGAACTATGCTTATGTAATATAAATGGGCACGTGCTGATAAGACTTCTGTCCAGGCATATATTACCAGGCATAAATCCACAGTATTTATTTAATTTTCCATTTAAACCACTAATGAAGTACTCTATAATGTAGGACACTAAAACTGTGTCAAATTAGTACAAATCTTGCCTGCACAGGAAATACTGTAATTACTGAACAGTAGAAATATGATTGTTTATAGTCTTTAAGCATCACTGCAATTAAGCATCACATTTGTTATGCTTTTTCTAGAAGCTGTGGTTAGTGACTTTGAATCCTTTTTAAAACTCTTCATTTTCCGAGTTTACTATACATGTTATTTTTTTTAACTCCATTGATAGTCCCAAAGGTTGGGAGTCCAAAAAACTCTGCCGAGTCATAGTCTGTCAGCATGTGACTCAGAATCCAAGACTAAACATGAATGGATGTGATTTTGACTTTGTTTTTTATTTCATTTTCTCATCTCCAGTTGGTGTACGTACAAACGGGATGTACAATACCCAAAAGAGGTGGCAGAAGAAGAGAGAAGGCCCACCACAGGTAAAGAGGCCAAGATTGGCATGCGCAACTGATGGCTAGAAGCCTTCGAAGGGGCAAGTCTTGTTGACTACTAAAATGCTATTCCTGGAAATTACTCCACTGGGTTCTAAAACTTAGGGAAATTTTAAGATATATTTTCATAGTAGCTGATAGCCAGCTTCTCCAGTGAACCCCTAGAAGCACATATACACTGTGCTCCAAGATTTGTTACTTTTTTCCTCTCTCTCTGCTACCTGGATTCCCTCATGGGAGCACTTCTTCCTTAATACTCACCTAGAGATTCCCAAGTAAAAGTTGCAGAAGGACTGTCTACCAATAATAAACACCCACTTTCTAAATCAGCTTCCTTTTTCATTCTACAAATCAATGAATTTCAGAATAAATAAAAATATAGTCATAGGTGGTATTATTTGCTGGTCCCAGAGCCAAGAAGTTTAAGGTTCTATGCTGTGCAAATTGAGCAATGGCCAATGTTGCCACATGCCAGAGATGATATGGTATCTTTGGACAGAATGGTCAGTGGATTACTGTAGTGAGTGCGATCTCTGCATTTCCAGCATCAGAAGTGTTCCTGATTTCAGGTAGCACCATGCATGGCTATTAAAGGTAAAAGAAACAGCAGGGGCACAGTTCCAATTGCTTAGTAAACAATTCGAGGAAGGAGTTTATTACAGCCGGCTCTCAAGTGACAGATAAATGCATAGTTCTATTAGGGATGCTAAATTCAGCAGGCTGCCAGCTTAAAAGCATGTAGATCAAAACAAGGGAGATTTAAAAAATCATAAAGGCAAAATACAACTATGTCAGAATGTGACAGGAACATAATTTTGCCTTAAAAGTGACCTGTCCCAGTCCTCTCAAGAACATGTAAACACAATTTATGGAACAAAATTGAAAGCATGTTGGAAATATTCCATGTTTTAATGTGCCTGGTATTGTGCTAAAAAACTCCAGCATTTAAATGGCCTATTTTTAAACCAATATATAGTTGAATTCCTGTATTATGAACAAAAAGCTATATCACATAATTATTGATGTGTAATTCTTTATTAATGTGCAATGTTTAATTCTTAAAACAAAAACCAAAAAAAAGGCACACACAAGCCACTACACAGATTCTTTCATGCACCCCTTTCTCTACCTCACAAGTTTTGCGTGTGATTTTTAGAGGACTTTTCCTGCTCAGGGTTGGCATCTGTCTTTCAATTTTTACCGTTCAGAGCCATATTTATAGAAAGATGTGCAAACATTGTAGATGGTAGACTGCACGGCCCTCATGTGGTTAAAACCTCAGCCCTTTGGTTTTCTAGGGCTTTACGTAAATAACAATAAACTTGAGAATTCGCCCAACTGTGCCTCTTAACCTTAGTTCCCAACGGTGAAGGGCAAGGTTTTTAATCAAGTAGCAATTTATCTTTAATTAGGAAAACATAATTAGGCATTATCACCTGCCTAATTGCAGTTACTGGTGGAGAGAGTCACATTTCGCAAGTAGTGACCCGTGCTGGATTATCATTCTCCTACTACTGAATTCTGCACCTCCATTCGTACATGGCAGACGCCCAATAAAAATTCACAGGTGATCACCATGCCCCTCGGCAGTCTTGCGTCAAAGTCCCCAACTCCACTGCTGCGTAAGAAACCAGGAGAACTTCCTGAGCCGCATCCGGGCCGTCCCTTTATCCTGCTCACACCAGGAGAACTGTACACAGAGGCCCCCACGTGAAGTAGGTCGGAGACCGTGCCACTCTTTATTTCTGGTACGGTTAAAAACAGTTTAATGTCTCAAGGCACCGCTATGGTCAGACATTGGACACACGGCAGTCGGCTTGTCGTCTGCTCTGCTGGGAAGTCGGCGAATAGCTTGTGCGGTTGTGAAAAGCAATCTCTAGAGGACCACTAGCTACACAGTAGGCACGTGGATCATAATACAAATAGGAAACAATGAGTCCTAGAAAAAGCGTGTTGAGCACCGTTGTGGCCTTGCATGTATTTCTTACACTACGGAAACCTCACATGTGCAAGAGGGAAGACGAGCTCGTTAAGGCGACGCTCAAGGCTGCCCCCGGGCTGTCGGCGGGCTCGCGGCCCCTGGCGCGGCTGTGCTCTCGGAGGTCGCCGGCTCCGGGTCGGCTTCCGCCCCGCCGGGGGCCTCCTGCAGGTGCGAGCTCAAATTCTCCGATGTCAGGTGGGAGGCCTTGTAGACGATCTCGTTGAGGTCGGACCTGATGCAGACCAGGGGCGGGTCATTCAACGGGTCCCCCACGGAGGCCCGGGTGTTTTCTCGGGTGAGTCCCATGTCCTTGCTGTGCTCAGACGGGGATTTCCTTTTCATGCGCGTGTACGTTTTGTCTTGGTTCTCCATGCCTTGCTCATTTTTCAAAAAGCGTCCAAAGAACCAAATGAAGAACCCGAACCACACGAAGGCTATCAGGCTTGGGACGAAGGCCAGACACTTGACGTCAAGACTGGCCCCCGTGAACCTGCTGTGCAGGAACATGTCTCCCTCCACATACGTTTTATTAGTCTGAGGGTTGGTGTGATTGGACCTCCACTCCCAGGAAAGCTTGGTTCTGTTCAAATCCTTTAAACTTTCAGAGTCTTTCACTGTATATATTTTCTGCCCTGGGCCGATATATTGTCCATATTCATGAGGTTTGTAAAATATCTGGTTCTTCCACATATTAAGATCCAAAATCAAGACAAGAAAGATAATTCCATAGTTAAACCATTTACCTGCAGTAAAAAAGAAATACTGCATATTAGTCAAAGACCTATAAAATTGCGATAGGGTTTTCTCCAAAAAAAAAATAGGAGATAACGATATACTAGTATAAATTGTTAATGTTTCAAGCTTGTTAACAATGAGCTTTTTGAAAGTGCTGCCACTACGTGAGTTGGCACAGGGGATTTCCTAAATGGATTCTAGGCCCATGAAAACATGTGGGGCCCCGAGTCAGCCGTTTATGGCACTTACATTAACCAGATTAAGTCTCCTTGTTTTATAGGCACCACAGCTATCTTTAAATTGGTTCCATGAAGGTTATTCTCAGAACATTTCAATTAATGTTTAAAAAAATAGTTCTAATGAAAATCTTAGAAAAGTTCAATGTATGATTGAGCATCTCCTACAGTTTTATAATTATGTCTGGGCAAGAAATAAATCATTTTGCAATGCAAGCCCCGTAGTATATCAATTGAATTCACATTGCTGTTCGTAGGTGACCTGTTGATTAAACCATCGGCTGATGTGATTCAGATCAATAATCCCTAAGCATTCATTTCAAGACTTCAAAAATAATTGCATCAAGTTCTCATTGAACAGAATCCATTTATCAGACATATAAATATAACCAAAGCTAGTAAATTGCTTGAGAAGACTTGCTGAGATTGCAAGGACCACATTTTCTTTGTAGAATTAAAACTTCTTATACAAATAAGACATCATGTAGAGACATATTATCTAGCGGTGTCTTTACATCTGAAAATGGAAAGAATGTGGAAACCCTCTTGAGGGCTACCAGATTCATTATGATTTTTGTAATAATCATAATTTATTGTAAGTTTTACAGGATTAAGTATATCATCATAATACCACAAAGCCCACCCCACAGGTGTATAGTAGCAAATTAGGTAATGGGCTCAAAAAGGTCAGTGTTAAGTATTGTATGAATTAGGTCAAAAATTACTTTATTTTGTATTTGAAGAGAGTGGTACTACATGCTAAGTTACTGCTTTCCATAACTACAGAAGTCTTGGACAGGAGAGAGAGATGCTCAGGCAAACGTCAAGCCAAAGCCAAGAATGGGAAAAAGGTAATTTGCAATAAGTGCTGTATACAAATATAACTTTGTGATGAGTTTAGGAGAGTATCGTTACACATTTTCAAGGTCCTATTATTATGTGCAAGATGGAAAGGTTTTAATCCTGGCTTCAATCCTTCTTAGCTATGTGGTCTTGGACTAGTGTTTAAAACCTCTAAACCCCAGTTTCCTTACATGCAGAAAACAGCAGTACTTATTAAAGCTGTTAGCATTTCATGAAGTTATTAGATTACTGGATGCTAAACACAGGGCCTGGTACATAAAAGATTCAGCAATGGTTGCTGCTACTAGCATCAGAGGCTTGCCTGTGCCGTGGGGAGGCCTTCATCTGTATGGGGAGGTACGACTTCTCTGTGAATATAATTTTTATAAACTATGAAGAGAAACTATAACTCCGTCTGTTCCGAAATTGTTCACCTTCACAGAGTTCAGACTTTTGTAATGGAAACTCCTGCCCAAATGATTTATTCTGCACCCCAAACTGAAATCAAGGTGAACCTTGGGAATACTGTTTCCAGATATGATAGAATATTTAAATGCCGGCTCTGTTAAGTTCAAACCACTCCCGCCCTCCTGGGTCTTCCAAACTAAAACAGATTCACGTGAAGAATCAACTGTAAAATAAATCCCAAAAGCTCAAGCTTGTGTGACTCCGCCAACCGTGGAGGTGAGCGTCATTCCCGACCACTTGCTGTTTCCTCACGGCCTCTGCGTGGGGCGCCTTGCAGACTCCCTGCCTTCCAGGGAGAAACTGATCATCTTGTTGGGGAAACAGGACAGAGCCCTCAACAGATAACTGAGAATAAGCGGTCCCTCTGGGGAGGTGCCTACAGAATGGTACAAACCATGAATGCTGAAGATGTTGAGAAAATGGAATAAAAATTGAGGGCTAATTTATGCAGGAAGGATTTTTGGAGGAAGTAGCAATTCACGTGGTCCTTGAATGAAAAGTAGGACAGAGAATACTTTGGAACAATTTGCATTTCTTTTAGTTTCTGTTTTTATTATGCTGCGGAAAGAATGACATACAGACTAAGATCAGGTGATACCGGGGGGAGAGAGAAGGGAAACAGTGGAGAACATCGGAGGGAAAGAAAGGCAGGCGAGGGATGAGAGACGGCGCAGTGAGAGGGGTCCGGGGGTCTCCTGTTTCAAGGAGGCACTGGCTCTTGGCTCCTGTGATAGAAGCACATGGAGGGAGGGGCTTGGGGCTTCTCCGCGGCAGGAGATTCCTCCTCATTCTCTGGCATAAACGGTGTGTATTATGAAGCCAGCCTGCAGGGTGCGCGGAGAGGTCCTGGGCTTGCAGCACCTTCCTGGCCCACAAAGGTCCCCTGGAGAAACTGGTTCCTCTCCAGGTCCTGGCTATAAACTCGTGAGTGGGGCAGGTGCTCGCCAGGGGTCCCAGTTTCTAGGGTAACTGGAAATCAGACACTGAGCATAAGCAGCGCCATAGGATCAGGGAAGCGAAAGGAATGCTTGTGGAGCTTGGAGAAAGGGGCTTTGCTGGTGGAGAAAAGGTGCTCAGGGAATGTTGGCAGACGGGGAAGAAGATAAAATCAGAGAATAAAAATGGGAGGGAATGCACACCGACCCGGCTAAGAAGAAACCCCGAGGAGAAGAGCTCATCCCTCCGCGTTTACTGTGTTTTCCTACGAGTCAGGCTGAAGGAAGAGCCCTGCGTCAGTTTACTCCCTGAACTTTCCCACTAAGATCCACTTTATGTTATTTCCCCCCTGACCTGGGGTCAGAATCACTTAGATGAGATGGAGGAGGAGCCAATTAACAATGTGTTGACTGACGCTGGTTATGGGTCTCTTCACCCTGCTCTTCGCCTCTTTACTGATTTGGGGCGGGGGAGGCCATAGTCACAAACCTGCGGGCTGGAAACCAGCAGGCGAGTCACTCGGCTCAGTGCCACGGCCTGGCCGCCTGTCGGGCCTCTCCAGACCTCAGCAATTTTATTTTCAAACTGAGGAAATGTTTTATGTCTTCCAGTCCTAGGATTCTGTCCCCTTCCCCCAAAATTACATTTGCCAAAAATGTAGGGGTGGTGTTATTAATTTCTCTCTTCTACTTCTTCAAACCAGTTAATACAGGGTCTTGGAGAGAGAACACGGGGGGCTGGGGGGGAAGAGCGTGGAAGGGTCCGTAACACAGGCGTGCCCACCAGGTGACCACGTGCTTCCATCTGGACAGAATAGCATGAATTACCTGCACTGACACTGAAGGGTAGGTATCAGCGGACCATTCAACCAAGAGGACCCTGGGTGTAGCTGCCTGTAAATATGCCCTGTGAATCCACATATCTGACGTGTTGAAAATTCTTAGCCATTGGTAAGGAGTCTACAGCTTGCAGTAGGTCGGTCCTGAGAACAGGTTTCTTTCATATATATGCACATTCTGAGGCTAAGGAACAGGAGACATTGTTTCCAGTTCCCCGAAAGCAGAGAGGTCATCTGGGGGGAAACGTGCAGAGGGGAGAGAACCCTGCTAACACGGCATCTGGATGCAGTGTGTCCCCACTCCGACCGTTGCAGCCACCCAGCTGAAACTTGAAACTGTTGAAAATGTAGGAGATGGCTCTTCTTATTTCTTGTTTGTTTCTGGCCCACCTGACATAACGTCTGGCCCATTCATTCATTTGTACAGAGAAGACCGTTCATCTTCCTCTGTCACCATCCTTCCATTACCCTGCACCATGCTTTGTTTCCTTGGTGATGACCTCGCCTCTTCGGGAAATTATTTCTGTCCTAAGAGATGCTGCAAACCAGAAAGCAAAGCCACGCGGAACAACTCAACCCCGAGGTTCTCGTCTGTAAGGCGAGGGAGTTGAGCTAGAGAATCCTTGAGGTTTCTTCCCAGCCTTAAAATTCCCTTTGATGAGTCCATGAAAGAAACATTGCCTAAATTTAATGTTTTATGATGGACCAGGAAATCTCGCCATTAGAGCAAAAAAGATGAATACATTTCATTTTTAGATGGAGAAAGTTTCCCTTAAATAAAAAAAAAAGATTGTATAATCTGAGAAACACTGCTTACCATAAAAAGTAAATATGAGGCCCTGAAATGATCCACACAGAAAGGATTAGAATACCCTTTTCACAACAGAAAAGAACAGAAGCGCTTCTGCTGCCGTTTTCCCGTGTGTTGGGAGTGAGCCGTCGCGACAGCGCGAGGCCTGGCGTTTCAGCGTTAGTCGTACGGGGCATCCAGCCTTTTGCCTGCTGTCCCGGCCACAGAGCACCACGGAGGTCAGCAAGGAGGTAGGCTGAGAAACATGCACCATGATCTCCTGGTGGGAAGATCTCACCGTTGCCCTAATGAGAAGTCACTGCATAGTGTTGGGTGGGATGATTTCTTCATGTCCCATGTGCTTTTAGTGAATCTTTCTGGGTGTCAAAAATGATAATATAATGGTAATTTTATCTTTTTACCTTGTGGGAGTTCATAGAATCCTGGGCCAGTTTTAAAAGGATTCTTCATTAAATAATACTCTCACTTAGCAGAGGAAATGACAACAATTTAGGGGAAAATATTTTTTTCAACTGCAGAAAGTGAGTAGAAAGTGCTGGTATTTCTACCATTTGATGAACCTTTAACTATTCAAACATGCAATTATGATATTTTAAAAAGTCTTTTACTCGGTGGAGTTGCCAGTTAGCAGTGACATTGAGCTGTGCTGCACCCGCTCAGGATCAGATCTGGCATCCAGGGCAGACAGTCAATGGTCAGGCTCCACAGAGCTGTTCAGCATCATTACAGGAGAGCAAGAAACCATGGCCCTGGAGAAGATGAGTTTTGGACAATTAAAGAAATGGCATTGGCTGTAACAAGCTTCTTGGCCATATTCAATGTCCTCTCAAGCCAGACATGAGCAGTGAAAACAGGGCTGAGTTAGCTTCTCTTTACCCCTCTCCCAGGTAATTTAGGGGTATCCAGAAACTGCATTAAGTGCTTGGGCCACGAGGACACTATCCAGCAAATTGAAGATATTAACTAAATAATTTATGAATTAGTAAGAGTTCTTCCAGTCAGTAAAGTATCTTTTTAAGACTTAAGAGCAAATTAATAGAGCTTCTCAAAGTGCCCATCTGCTCACTGCTGCTTCCTAAGTGGGGGACTATTCCTTTAGGACATAATCCAATATGATGAGGTAGAAACTTGTGATGATTAAAAGGAAAAGGCCAAGCAGCTGTTCTGAAATGGATGATGGGTACATTCTGACTTCCCTGGGCTCGGGGGTGGTGCCCTGCTCATTTCTCCATTCCCTAGAGCCTCGCTCAGTTTTAGACACACATTAACTCAGAAAATGTCTGCTAACCAATGGGTAAACTGTGAGATAATGTGTCTAGAAAAATACAAGGAATGAAGTTCTAGTCTTTCAAATCAAATATATGTATCACAATGACCTGGTGAATTCCAGGTTACTGCTAGAACCAGATGTAACCTGGAAAACTGGGAAAAGCAAAACCTTCATGTCTCTAAGATTACAATTCATTATGAATTTCAAATCTTTCTTCTGGCGGTAAAGACAATTCTTGGAAAGCAGGCCAGTTTTATTACAAAGCCCTCACACATACATGCACATGGGGGGAGAGGACCCCGCTGTTTGTCCAGGGCGGACCTGCTCCCAGGTAGCAAAGACCAACAGGCTATGAGCTAAGCAACCAGGGACTTGAAGTAGATGAGCTTTGAGCAGGTAAAAGGAATTGTTGCTTTATGGAAGTGTAAACATAGCTGCCTCTTTGAGCTGTACAAATATGATGAAAATGGAAATTGCTTCAGGAAAGCTTTAGAAAAAGCGACAACTGAGAGAAGAGTGAGAGGTTCTTGTGCATTCAGGTTGGATTCACGGCCCTCTGAGGACCACCCTCGTGCAGTGGATGCACCACACATCCCCGGCACAAGCCCCTTGCTAATTTAGTCAGACAGAATATTCTGCAGGATGGACGGACCAGCACAGGGGAGCTCTGTGAAAACACTCTCTGGGAACTCACTGACCAGAGGCCGTGCTCCTATGGAAATAACATGAAAGTCATTATTTTCCACATTCTCGGTATTGCCAGGCACCTGCGTGTGCCTCCCACCACTGGCAGCCACAGCAGGACACAGACGCTGCAGGGGCTTGTTTACTTCCCACCTTCCGTTTTTGCCGGAGGGGCTCCCACGGGCATCGTTGTGCCAAGAGCGTGAGTCCACTCCTCGCAGATGCTCAGGCCTTCCTCCGGCCTTTCCCCCAGCCCTCTTCTAATTTACTTGGAGGCTGGCCACCAGTGTGACCCTCCTCTGGGCTGGCTGCGATGACAGATGGCAGAGGTCCTACCGGGCTGCCATTAACAGGATGCAGAGGAGCCTCGGGAGCCAGCTGAGAGGCCATTCCTCTCTTGCCCCCGGAGACGTGGTGCATCACGTTGTGAATCCATCTTTGCACTCACCTTGTAGGTTAAAGGGGACAGGCCAGAGGAGGCGGTCATGCAGGGGCATTAGGCGTTTATGCTCAGGAGAACAATGGCCCTGGCTAACAGCACCAACGTGACAGAATCACTAACCATTTCTCCCCTTCATTACCGAAGTCAAAATTTCCAGAAAAAATATTTTAACACACCCTCAGATAGAGATAATTTATTTTCATAAGCTGTAGCCCAGCTTATACAGTGAAAGCTCGTATCGCAATGAAGCATCTGTCAGGGTGGAGCCAGATGAGCCACACAGATGTAACAATTCAAGTTATTTCTGACATGCATCAATGCAACTAGCTTGGAATCAGGATGAAAACAATACTCAAATTCGAATTCGAAATGCTTTGAAAATGTCCAGGGAACTCTTCAGTTTCAGAGCACTCTTTCCATACAGAGCAATTCCTTGGGAGAGAGATTTCCCCCCCATTCTTAGCTTTCTCCTTGGGGACACAGAACAGTAGATAACTCTAGAGAAATCGGAGGAGTGGATAAATAAATGATGACGGCCCTCAGGCTGCATGATGCTTCTGAAATAGGAAACCGACTTTGGACGGGTGCAGCTGCAGGTAAGACTTAGTGTATGTTGACTGATTGCTTCCCACTTGGAAGGCAGTGTTTTTAGTGCCTTGTATGTATTGATTGGTTTGATCCTCACACCAACCCTGTGGGATCAATGCCCTTACTTCCCCATTTAACAGATGAGAAAACTGACCCTGCAAGAGGCCCAGGAGCTTGACGAGGACCATGGCACCCGACGGAAGCAGCGCTGGGGTCTATGCACCAGACTCTATGTTCAGCATGCACTGAACATCTTCTCTCGGTCAAGAGGAATGACCATTGGGGTGTCACTGGCCATCCTTGGTGGGGCCACCCTTGGCCTCGGGAGAACCCTCATGCTCCTGGTCCAGATTCTCCTGACGCAGAATGAACGCAGGCAGAAAAAGCACCAGACGGAGCTGTCTGGGGGCCCAAGGACCCCTCCTCCCCCTGGCCCCACCTCCCTCCCAGGCCACCCAGACCCGGCCCCAGTCACTCTGCTTGGGGACGTCCTCTTTTGGCCTCAGTTGTGAAGTTTCCAGGCTCTAGGCAGATTCTACCATGTGCCTTTCTCACCGGACACCCCATTTCTACTGAGTCTGCATTCTGCCCGTTGTCTTTCAATTTTAAAGGCTGCCTATGAACGTGAAGCATGGTAAGAGTTCAGACTGCAGAGAATGCTGCTCAGCGGCCGTGTTCCCAGGTGCTGGGCTCCACCTGGTGCTTGGGCACCTGGCTCTGGGGGCTGACGGGTAGTTGGACGCACACTCCAGGCTACTCCTGTAAGCAATGAGGTTTGAGAACCTGCAGACTTCATCAGTGTGCAGTCGCCATTACAAAACCTTGGCAGGTACTTCCTCCTTGTAAAGTTTTAGAAAATAAGACTTAGTGGGATAGGGGTTTTCATTCAAACCTTAACCCGGAAACTAATGTCACGGATGCCTCAGGGACTCCTGTATGCACAGCCCCTTCCAAGGTGCTGAATGTAACTGCGTGTTGTAGTGTTGCACCACGTTCCTAAACAGAGCATTCCAGATTGTGTGTGCTTTGGGAGCCCCAAAACCTGAATTTGTCACATCTACAAATGACAGCATATGTGACAACACCACGCAAGGGGGCCCCACATTAAAGAGCTTTCACACGTGCCTTTTTTCTTACGTGTGAGTTCTCCAAATCTTTTCCCCCATTGTGAATCCAATATTCTGCCCTAAAGCAGTGTATTTCTCACAGGGATTCTGCAACTCATTCAGAGAGAGTATTAGTGTCCTGGTGGCATGAGACAGGAGCTGATAACAAGAGCGGATGGTCCAGGCAAAAGCCCACACAGGGGATGTGATGATGCTGCGTGTGTGCAAGCTGAGAAGGCCGTGAGGCCAGCAAGCCGCAGAGATTGGGGGTGGGGGGCCTGAAACCGCACTGTGTGACCTGAACTCAAATTGACTGATCTACCCAGTGAAGCTAATAGATGGGCCTCCTCTATTCTGAACAGGAAGAGAAGCCGGCTGCCTCTTCCCTATGCATGAGCTCATTCTCCCGTCTAGGAAGGTCGTCTCCTGCTCCAAGCAAAGAGCAGCCTTCAGCCTGAAAGCTAAGGGCTGGGCAGCGCCCAGATGCTCACGGCTTCGGGGCTCAGGCCACTCTTGTCGGGCCCAGATGGCGGCGTGAGTCGAGGTTTCTCCAGCAGTTTTTATTACAGCAGGTGTGGGATCTCAGACTATTGTCCTTAAAACACGCATACAGCCACTACCTACCTTTGACCAGCTTGGGAACTAGCATCATCCCATACGTGGCCGTGTGGCCTTCTGCTTTTTTTATAAGGATAAAAAAGGGTAAAATGCAACTCCAGGAGGGCTTTTTTGGGTGAGAATGACGGAGATGTCATGAGAGAATACTGTATCATATCTGAGCCATCAAAAGCTGGGCCTAGCTAAACATGAAGTCATCTGAAGGCCACGAGAGAATCACCTGGGCCCAACAGCTCTGCGGCAGGGGCAGGGCTCGGCCGGCCCGGGAGAAACGGTCCAACTCCCGAAAGGCACATGGTCGGACTGGGGCCAGGACACGGCCGCTCCGATCTCAGCAGCAAACAGAAAACAAACACGAAGAGTATGAATTCTGAAAAAATACAGTGAGCTGTGTTACAAAGAACAAAGCAACGCGGGGAACGGCAGCCGGCGAACCCTCCACGCCGAGGGCTCGGCCCCGCCTCTGGGGGCCCCCCCGAGAGCCCTGTGCCTGCCGCCCCGGGGCTGCTCGGGGGGCTGCGCTGCCTGTCCTCCGGGCCCCCCGTGGGGACCTGCCCAGTTACCGCCAGCGGCATGCGGGCGGAGGCGACACGTGTCTTCTCCAGCGTGGGTGGAGGCGGGCAAGCCGCCGTGACAGTGCCTGCTGGGTGCGGAAGAGCAAGCGGTCAAAGCCGCCGGTGGTGTGGGTCCCAGAAGGGCGGTCGGAGCCTCCAGCTGACCTGGAACCCCTTTGAACGGCTGAGCGAGAAATAAAATTGCATTTACACAGGCCTCTGAATGTGACGGTTGGCTTTCTTCTTACAGCAGCTACATTACTCTAACGAGGAGACAATCAGATCATGTTCAAAGTTGTGATATACCTGTTATATGAATGTGATATTCCTCCTTGAAGATCTTCTGGAAGAAAGGGACCTTGAACTGCATGTGAGGGGTGTGCAGTCCAGGGAGATTCACATCAACATCTCCCATGAAATGCGGGAATTCCCAGTCCTGCCAGAGAAAATCAACATTAAACACATGTTTGTGATTGGTTTCGTTCCTAAGCAGCAAAACACCCAAAATTGACTTTTTTATAAGCCCTTATTTTAAAATCATTTAAATGCAGCCAGCTGTCGGGTGCATCAGTTTTGTTCCGCGATGTCTCTTTTATGTACATTAGGCAGTGATATGCATTCAAAATCAAAATTAAATCATAACTTATATCTTCAGATTTTTCTCTTTAACATGGTAATAAGAAACCAATATAGAATTGATTTGTATCTGTACAAGTTTATCTCTTTCATTCTGGAGAACTGATCTTGCATTTTTATAGGAAGGAGGTGATCCATATTTCATAAATATGTGATAATTTTGTTACATTTTGTTTCACTGCTTTTTAGGAATATGAGCCCTATAAACAGCGTGTTTTGTGTAAGAAGACAAAGTAAAGAGAATCTGATTTACTTAACCAAGTTCTTCAGTTCACACCAAAGGACTTTTACTAGCCATCTCTGCGAGCGACTGCACGGAACGAAGGCATGCCCGAGAGCGCCCAGCCCCTTGCAGTTCAGCACCAGCTCGACCCGAACTATGGGGGGCCTGGCACATGAGCACGAGAGGCGGACGGCGGGTTAATGCCCAACTGTCCTAGTCAGTCCCTGTCATCAAGGCAGAACCAGAGCATGCCCTCCCCCCCCACCCACAGAAGGGAAATAAAGGCAAATGAGGGCATTTTTGGTGTTTTATCTGCTCCTGGTTTTTGGATAGAGGCAGCAAATTAAAATTCGTAACTAGCTTGTGAAGAAAGAATTTCTAACTTGACTTAGCGCCACAGGCATTGACACACATATTTTCACTTTAAATAAATAAATAATCACTACGTTAGCAGTCCTATATTTACTGAATATATTAAAAAAGAACTTGAATATGAAAAAGTAATGTTCAAAATATTAATTTCAGGTTTCAATCCATTATCTCTGCATTGAAAGTTAAATGTTCCAGACTCCCGCCTGTACAAGTGACGCGGAGGGCTGAGAGTGGAGTGGCTGAGGAGTCCCCAGTCCGTGCCACTCCCGTTTGCTGAGAATTCCGGGTATGAGAGAGGAAAGGGGAATACGTGAGTGGTGGTAACCTGCAAGGCTTTCAGCATCTATTAATGTCCTGGTCATGGATCACTTCAAGCCCCTAACAAGAAATAAACAAGAAGAAAAATGAAATGGTGCACCATCGTCCTTTTCTATCGAAATATCTTCTCAGTCTCACCTCCTTGTTTTCAGGACATTAGCAGTAAACAGACATGTCGTCTGGGAAATTCAGAAAACCCAAAGCATAAGCTGCATGAACTTACAATGCTTTGACCTAAAATATTAGTAGAAAGGGAATTGATAATAATCCTTGTGAACTATTGTTTTCTTATGTAAATGAATTTGCCTTTATTTTTCACTGATACTATCTTGTTCTTTCTATGTTACTTGGAGGACTCTTGCAAAGAGAACTGAAATTGAATGTGGTCTTTTGCTAAAATATAACTGACCTCTCCAATGAAAGATCACGCGTGGCACATCAAGGGACTGATACCCAGGGCAACTTTCCCATGTCTTGGACAAACAACGCAGAACGTGATCTATCAGTGGAGCAATTCTCTTTCTATTTCTTGATTCAAGAAAGAGGCTACTTCCTGGCAGTACCTGGACCAGTGCACTTAGCGTGACCTTCCTCTTAGGAAGACAACCTTGGACTGTTTGTATTTAGCTTTTCATTCCATGAAGTGAGGGTTTGCTACTGGGTATGAAATTGGTTCTAGTGTGAAAGTAATCTCTAGAGATTTCTTGTAGCCTGGGATCAAAACTTCTTTCACCAAAAAATAGTCCCTCAATCATTTCGCAGTGTACTTTGGGCTGGAAAGACAGATCTGGACTTGGAGCTTAGATGACAGAGGAGAGGAGGCCTTGCTCTTCATTGGGAAGATGCTGTTACTGGTCCCTGGCTTTTGTTTTGTTTTTAAGAGGGCATCAGGGGAGGGAGTGGGGCAGACATGTGTGACAGAGTAGCTGGTGCCATGGAAAACATTTCAAAAGACGAGGATTAATAAAAAAGAGATGATATATTAATTCTCTACATTCTCCCCATCTACATTATTTTTTATGATCATCACATTTTGGTTTTCAAAACTGGTCCTTGGTCTTCGAGGAGCTTGTCTCACCCCATCGGCTCTCTGCCCCCAGGGGTGCACGTCACTCCCTACGCTGCTCGCCGCAGGCTCTTCCTTGATCATGGGGACTCCGGCCTTACCTGCAGGCAATGGGAGGGTGAGCCCAGTGACCCTGACTGCTGGCAGGATGCTTGGGGCTCGCCGCAGTGGGGACTGGGCGCCTGAGGCTGAGACACCTGCTCACAGGAGGCGGAAGAGGAGGGGGAGCTATCTTGAATCCCTGGGATTTCAGTGTCTTCATCTATAACTGGGGTTGAACATGTTAATCCCCAGGCTTCTGGGGGTGAGGGGATGCCCGCATGGTGATGAGCACGTTGCTGGACACGGAGGGAAGATCCACAAAGGGCCAGCAGCCCCGGCTGACTTCCAGGCATGACCCCAAGGTCAGGCTGCCCCTGGGCGAAGCAACGGAAGCAGACAGGTGTGTTTCCAGGAGGGTCACTCCGAGGGCTGCGTCCAGGTCCGGCGATGAGGACAAAGGCTGGTTCTCCTCTCCGCCGGCTGCCCGCACAGGGCCCCCGAGCTCCGAGCTGGGGCTTGGGCCAGAGCCCGGGGGGACCCGGTGGCAGTGCGGTGGGGGCGCCTCCTGACATGTGAGGCAACCTCGCAGGAGCACACTCTTCTCTCCCCCGTGTGGGCCACGCTCGGGGAATAACTGGGAGGCTTGGGGAGGGGAGCTGGGGGCACGTGGAGGACAGAGCGCCAGGGAAACCGTGGACCTTCGGGTGTGAAGTATTGAGCACTTGCCGCATCCCAGTGTCATCCTAGGCTTTCTCTCCATCCATGCTCATATCCAGAAGGATCCGGGGCGCTTGCTACTATGAACCCCTTTTACAGATGACAAAGTTCGCCTCCAAGCAGCTGGGGCAGAGCCCAGCCCAGGGGGCCCCTCCTCTGCCAGGCCAGGGCTGCCTGTGGCCTCATTCTGGACAGGAACCTATGTTTGCCTGGCGTGTCTGCTCCGACTGAGACTCAGTGGTGGCGGCCGTCTGCTTGTCTCCAGGAGGAGCTCTAGACTTTAGACTTCTTTCCTCCCCTCCCAGGGCTCCCATTTTTATCTGACCTGAATCTGAACAAGACCAGCTGCACCCTTCTCCACTCGGCACTGTCCGGGGAAGAGCTGGCTTCTAATCAGATGGATGAACGGGGATGAGACCACCGGGTGACCGACAGCAAGTCCTGAGACTCTCCTGATGTTGTGACTACGGGGGTACAGCCAGTTTCACACAAAGATTATATATAATGTTATGAGAAGCACGGTGTCCTCCCTCTGAGTAAATGTAAAACATATATTTTAAACACAAGAAAATGAAATGTTGAAAATGTTGAATTAAAGACAATGAGGAGACAAGATGTGTTCAGCTGTTAAGATCAGAGTATGACAAGCTGATCCTGTGATTATGCATCATGACATGTTCATCTATTTTGCTCTTCAAGAAATGTTACCAATAGTTACAATCCCAAGCCTGTCTGCAATCAAGTCTAACAGTAAGTGCGGAGGCCTGTTACATCTATGCTCAGCGATGTGAGAATTACGTAGGTGAATCATATACACATCATTCCTGTTCTCATCATTCACGGTGAGGAGCAGACTTCCACTTGTATCCTGCTTCATATATAAGAAAGTTGATTTTCATTCTGATGGGCTATTTCCCATATAAAAAGAAATGAGCTGAGCCATAGCATGTATCTCATCTTATTTCCTACATACTATGGTTAACTCTGCCTATAAAAAGCACATCTGGATGTGTCATTTGAACTGATACGTCCAAATCTGATCCCCTCCGAATGGGGTCCTAGCAGTCATGGGCTACATTGGATAGAATTTCGGGGCAATGGGAAGTATACAGGCAAAATGGTCTCAGAATATCTTGGTTTCATCATTTCCTCTCGCTGAGACATTGAGACGCATGCCTTAGGGCCCAGAGAAAGAGCTTGGCTCGAGGAGAGGAACTCAGGCTTGAAACCGACACTGTCTTGGACTCCCTGACAGGCATGCAGTCTCCCAAATCAAACGAAGAGGCCTCATTTCTATTTAGAGAAGCGTTAGAGGATAAAAATGTAATATCACTGATTATTCTGCCCTGCAAAACTAAAGGCATCGTTTCAGGACAGAAGTCCTATTTCGGGGGCCAAAGGCTGGCCCCTGGATTGTGATGCAATTAAAGGTGGATAAAACGTTACTGAGTACTGTTGACAAGCACTTAGAATAGAATTGATGACGCGTTCTTAAACGTTAGTAAAAAATACCAATATTTTTCAATGTCATCTTATGTATCTCTTCTTTATAGGCATCAGATTATTAAGCTTTAAATGATTTCAAATGCCGTCTTCACAGATATGCTCCCTGCTCTTTGTTAATCCGTCTTCCTCTTCTTATTTCAGGACAGAATTTAGATCTAGGAATATCAGAACATCATTTTACCCAAAACATCTCAGTCTGTGAAATGTCCTAGCTTTTCTATGCTTAACAGCATCTTAGTAACAGGATTTTAGATGCCAACAGGCAGAGGTGGGCTGAAGGATTGTGCTCATGCTTTGGGTGATACTCGTTCCCTGTTAAGAATCTCGAGTGCCTGCTTTCTCTCCGCAGCCCCACGCTGCTTCTAATTGGCACAGCTGCCAACGCATCCCTTGGCTGAGTGAATCCTTGGAATAAGCGGATCTGCTTATTTACTGCTCCAGGGATACTTGCTCCAGGGAGCTTACAGGGTTTCTTCTTGTTTTGTTCACTCCTGTATTCGCTATACCAGAAATAGGGCTCGTCAGGCAGCAAAATCTCAAATATTTGTGGAATTGA